AGTTGATATTTTCAATCTTAGTAAGTTTAGTTGCTTAAGTTGTGAAAATAAAAAATTTGATTGTGTTACGTTACGAATATCGGAAAAATGATAGTTAAAGCATTCGCCCTTCAACAGATTTTGAAACTACGACTTGAGTAAATACTTCAGCTATTGCAAGGCTTTGGCCTTTTAACTGACCAAGATAGGGACTTCTTAAACATGTGCATAAAGAAATTTCTTAACCATTAAAATATACGATATAGCTTAAACGTGGAAAAATTCTTTCGGTAAACCTGCAAAAAGTAATATGTTGAAAAAATTGAAACATGTCAACATAAGACTTCTGAAACATGTTTCCAGTAAAACGCCAATTCAATAAGACATAGATAGATAGATTCTTAACAACAATTTCAATTCGAAAAATCTCTTTCAAAAATTGGAAAATCTGTGAAAAGAATCAAAAATAGCCGGAACTCAAACTCACGACATCTCGGAAAACAAAAAGATTTGAATAGTTATATTAGGAGGTTAGATTTGGAACGCTGAAGTGTGCCTGACAATAGCCCGCCATAGCGTTAAGAATATGCAAGTTTCATAGGCTAATATGCAATCAATCAACGCTTTTAAAAAAAAAATGAAAAAACAAAAAAAATCGCAATATCTCGGAAGCCAAAAAGATTTGAGCAGTCTGAATTGGAGTGAAGAAAATTGAAAACCCATTAAAATGCCATGTCTTGAAAATCAAAAAGTTTTGAGCAATCAAACTTGGACACCAGGTATGCAACTACTGCGTAGGACCTGACAGCAGCCAAGCATAGGGTTGGGAATTTCCAGTTCTGCTCGTTTTTTTTATATCTAAGTTTTTAAAAAAAAAGAAATACAAAAAAAATAAAAAAACGCCGTATTTCGAAAACGAAAAAGATACAAGCAGTCATACTTAGACGCCAGATTTGCAACCCCTGAGTGTACCCTGGCAGCTCCCCATTATAGGGTTGAGAATTTCAAGTTAGGTTAGTTTTTTAATTTTATAGTTTTTTTGAGAACAAATTGAAAAAATCATAAATAAACGCCATATCTCGAAAACCACAAAGTTTCGAGCAGTCATACTTGGGCAACAAATTTACAACCTCTGGAAGTACCAAGATAGCAACACACTATAGGGTTGAGAATTTCACTTTCTGATAATTTTTTTTCATACAAAAGTTTTTGAAAAAAAAGAAAAAATGAATTTTAAAAAGCCATATCTCGAAAACCAAAAAAAAATGAGCAGTCAAACCCGGACGCCAGATTTGCAACCTCTGAGTGTACCCTGACTTCGTCCCATTTTAGGGTTGAGACTTTCAAGTTAAGTTGAATGCTTTGTGAAACAAAAATTTCGATTGTATTACATTGCGAATATCGAAAAATGTAGAGTAATAGCAATCGCGCTCCAGCAGATTTTGAATCGTCGTATTGAGAAAAATTTTCAAACGTTGCAAAGTTTTTGCCTTTTAGCAGACCCAAAAGGGAACTTCTTAAACATGTGAATTTTCTTAACCTTCATAAAAAATGATGTAGCTTAAACGTGCAAAAACTCTTTCGTTAAACTTGCGAAAAATATTATGCTGAAAAAGCATAAACATGTCAACAGGAGACTTCTTAAACCTGTTTTAAGGGAAACGCCAATTCAATAATGTATAGAAGGATAGATTCTTTCAGACATCTTCAATTCGAAAAATATCATTCAAAAAAATGAAAAATCTGTGGAAAGACTGAAAAACGCCGGGTTTCAAACCCGCGACATACAGCCCATGAGGTATCTACCCTTCTATGCTCAGGAACAGAGCCGCTTGAGAAGGAGAGATCCCCATAATTTGTTTTTTAATTGAAAATTTATTAGATTTGGGGGAAAAAAATTGAGAAAATGAAAAAATTCCGAAAAAAAGGCCAAAAATCATGCTGCTGAAACTTTCGGGGCCGTAGAACACGAAGTAAAACAAAAAGAGACTAGCAAAATGAGCAAGCACATGGATGAGCAGCCGGTTTTTCCATTGGTACAATTTGTTTTGAAAATCGGTACAGTAGAATTTGAGAAAAATTGAAACTTCTGCAAAAAAGCAAAAAATTTCCGAAGTGTCGCAAAAAGAAACGAAAAACAACAAACACGATTTGTTATCGTACTACCTGTTTTTTTTTTCAAACCCGACCAACCTGCAGCCAAAAATAAAGCAGCAACATATGCCACTATATTAGTTACGCTTAAATGTGATTAAATTGAAATATATCAAAACTGCCATCAAATGAGAACTTTTATTTGCGCGTAGGTTTTTAAAAAAATTCTTCAAAGCCTGCTAATCAAAAAGGCAACAACTTGGGATTCACCTGACAAACTTCCAACATTCGTTGACTACATTATTACAAAAAAACTCCAAACACGCAACAATTTACGGACGAAAAATCTCCGGCACTATCTTGGAGTGAAGCAAAGAAACACTAAGTATTAATTGAAAGGACACTGGGCCTAACGTTCTGAATAACTTAACTCTTGTCTAGAATTCTTCGCAAAACGATTTTTTTGGTAAAACCTTCACAACTGATAAAACCCAGCACTTAGAATGGTATTTGCCCAAACAAAAATGACCTGAGCATTTGTCTGGCTGCACAAAATGAAACCAATTGCACAACTTCATTGTGAATCTCATATCCTGTGGGCCAAAAACCAGAAGGAAATGCCAAGATGACAATTTCTAAACGGCGACCATTAACCACAATGGTCTGATCTCCGCAGAACCAAATAGAACACAATGTCAAGACTTTTCAAACTCAAACACGTCAAACAATCCTCTGCCAAAATCGCAAGAACAACAAATCACTAACAATTCGCACTAAAACAATTCACATTGAGGAGAAAAACTACGTTAAAAACCACCGCTCTAAACTGATGGGCTCTAAACCTCCTGAAATATCCTCAAGAAAAGGAACGGCATCTTCAACTACGCCATAAATTTAGCACACAATTGAATAGCTATATGTCAAAAAAGGATACAATTATCAAAATAAATCCCAAACTGCCATACACGACCTCCTTAAATGTCTATTGAAGCTATCGAACTCAAAAACTGAAAACCTGTTGGACAACCTCGTTAAGTCGCAAAATGGCTGAAGTTACTAGCATAACGAGATACAGATTAGATTAGGAGTTTTTCTAGGTTTTCCAAGCGCATGAGTCAGTGGTTCTGTTTGCCTGGGTCTGTTTGTATGTTCTCCATTACGCAAACGGCAGTTGTGAAATTCAGTAAATCAAGAAGACCAAAAAAAATGAACAAACATTAAAAAACTGTAAAAAAACATGCGGCTGAAAATATCAACACTTATCATTGACTCTTAAAATTAGCCCTCTTGAACGGTTCATACTCGGTAATGTAAAAAGGGACAATTACGATTTTGGCGAACCCTGGAAAAGCCACAATTCGATTGACGAGTTCTGGAATTAAACCTACTACAGGACTATTTGAACTACTTCTCCAGTTTCTAGCTATAAACAACAACAAATATTTTCTTCGAAAGCACAAAAACATAATTGTCTGCAAGGCATGATATATGGAGCTCGAGTTCTAATCATGCGACTTTGAACGCCTGAACAAAGACTCTTGACAATAAAAGACTATGCTCCACTCAAGCTCCCACTAGTACTATTTTATTGAGATTCCGCCATGATATTGAATAGCGGACGCATAACATTAAGACGAAACGGAGCTTCGCAACACTAGCGATACAATCAAAACACTGCTTTAAATGATATAGAAATAAGGAAGTCTTTTTGTTTAAAAAAATAAAATGGAAAAAAAAACTTGAAAAAAGACTAAGATCTATATCTACAAAAATTTACTACCTTTATCACGAACGATAATCATGAATATCTTAACAAGCATTGAGAATCAATGATCGAGCAGCAACTAAGGCAAAAAAATTGGGTCGACCCTCGTTAAGCCGAAAACAAACCAGTAGACATGAAAAATATAAGCGCTTAACGCACCTTCGGTGCTTCAAATAGATAAATGGACATAAAAATAGCTGAGAAATGGTTGATAAATGGCTGATAAAAATATTAAATGGACGTGGATAAATTGACGTGAAAACGTATAAGAAAACAACAAAAAAAAGCAACAGTAACAATGGACAGGGGCATCCAACAACGTTTCTATTTCCAAAAATAAACGATTAAAAAAATTCTAACTTTTCTAATTTTTGAAAGGTTCTTTTCAAACTAAAATAGCAAAATCTTCAAATTTTTTGGGTTTCAGATCTTCGTATTAGTAACTCAAAACCAAAACCGTAAAATGGCCGAGAGCATAAAACTGCATTTTCAAAATTTAAAAAAACTGAAATGATATCATTGTTAAAATCACTTATGTCATAAATGAGATTCTCGTTGAACTTACTTCCTCATTTTCGTTAGCACAAACCTAAACTAATTGCTGCCATCAATAGTTTATTCCACCATCAGATTTAATTTTCTTAGTTCAATTTTTACTGTAATGATATTTTTGAAATATCACAACAAACGTCTATTTCGAAAAACTCCAAGAAAAGAGCAAAGACATTAGAATGGAGATCACATCTGCAATTAATGGTAACAACTTGACATCGTCCCACCAAACTTCGACAAACACAAATTTTGACAAGTTTTTTTTTGAAATTTAACACTTTCGAAAAAACATCAAAACGTCATATCTAGGAAAATGAAAGGCGGTGCGCAGTCATATATGAAGTCCAGATATAAATCTTTTAGATCTAAGATTTGCAACCACTGCGAGTATCCTGAAAGTACCCCATTACAGGGTTAGGAATATCAAGTTTTCTGAAAACTTTTTTAACAAATCATAAAAAACGAAAAATCTCGATAAGGATGTCCAAAAATATTACGTAGAAAAAGCTTTAAAACTGAGAGTTAGTGAAACCCGCATTTAAATATATAATAGAATATAATATATAATAGATACAAGCTGTAAAAAAATTTTCAAATACAATTTTATGATCTATCCCTCCTGAAACAGGCAAAAGCATTAAAAAGAATCACCATTGAAACTTCCCAACAGAAGCCGAGCCCGTTTTACTGAAAAAAGCAAAAGAATTATTTTAAATCAGAGTTGGCAGCATAACAAACTACAGAGCAAGTTTCAATTATAATAAAAACAATTTGAATAAAAAAAGCCCAGCTTTAAAGAAGAACCGCTTGCAAAACTTCGCAGATAATATAAATTGCATTTGAAAAAAAAATAAACGGAAAATCAGCCGGCAAAAATTAGGAGGAAAATCACATATCTGAAAAAAAAACAGAACATTTTTCGAATATAGAGGCCAGGCCACATTGCGCTACAAACCACAGTGCGCTGCAAAATAAGGAATGAAAAAAAAAATAGAAACCAAAAAAAATTTCTGAAAAATGAACATAACAATGTTGCAAAAATACAGCTACAAGAATTTACATATGTGTATTGGATGAAGTTCATAAACAGCCCGTAGAAATAGAAATTATTTACCGAGCGGCAGCAAAGGCGACAAACTTTAGGCCGAAACCTGTTGAGCCGAAAACAAAACTGTTGACAATAAAATTGTACCTCTCCCACAGAACTTAAAAAAATAGTTTTATTTGAAATTTCAAGAAATTGAGCATGTCAGCCTTTGAGCATTTCAGAATTGAGCATGTCGGCAGAATTTGTGAGACGACTTAATTACGGAAAAAAACCTAGTTCCCGATTACAAGTCGCTTCCTCTCACAAGTGGAAACACTCGTAAAAAAAAACAAAGGAGACGCATGTTAGAAGAGATATTTTCAGGGCAAGTTTAAATTAATACAAGCTATCGACAGAAGAACTAACTACCAGTTATTTGCAAAGTTTAATAGGGAATGAGAAATTTACAAACTTTTTTTTTATTATACACAATATAAACATAATCACGCAAAAACGCGATGGAAGTTACTACATCAAACTTGTCCTTCTCGATCAAAAATCTTCGCATCGAAAGAGTGAATTTCGAGCTTTCGGTCTCAAATGAGACAAAAGATTTTTCCGGCAGACTCCAAGCAATCAGCCTTGAATCACCAGTTTTATCGAGACTGAAGCACAACCCGTCGACCTCTTGGAAAACATTCGACAAATTTGCCGCGTTTTCTGAGATCTCCTGTAAAACCTTCTCGAGGCTGATAACAAACGTTTTCAACGTAAGCTTCAAGTCATTGTCTACAGTGGCGACAAGCAGGAATCGGTAGCCTTGCACCCATATTTCAACAACGGTGACATGTTGGAATGGATACGTCCATTTTATGGGGTCAAAAACAGGCGGACTAAAAGTGATAGCATCCAACTCGGAAGAATACTCGACAAAAACGTCTTCGTTGTCAAGGTTAAAAACTCCAAAAGCCCAGTAACGCGTTGGAGCTACTTGAAGGGCGTGATATGTCCAAGTACCTTTTCCAGACCGCTTCAGAATTGTGTAGATCTCTTTCGTAAACCTGAACAGAATTTGATTCGAATCTGCATTAACAACACAACAATAGTTTGGATCACATGCAGAATATGCTATCGCTGATTTCCATTGATACTTTGACCGTTTTGGAAACTTTTCCTCAAGCATGTTAACCTCATTCCCATTGACGAGTGCAATGCACATCACTGAGTCAGTAGCGCTCAAAATTAAGTTGTCCGCCTTGAAGTGATTCACGGTCTCATAAAAAGTTATTTTTTCCAGCTGAAATTGAAACCGCCCAGGATAAAAACGTCTGTCCCCGATGCCGTCTAGGAAGCCAGAAATTGCGCGGTTCAATTCCAACTCAAAATGAGCCTCGCATTTTGCGATATGCTCCTGGAACTCTCGAACATATCCTTTCGACGCTTCCAAAAAGACTGTGCGTCTAGATAAGCCCTCATCTTTGGAGCTCGACACTTCTTCTGAAACTGAGTCAATACTTTGCGTTAGCTCCAGGCATGACTTGCTTAACAAACTCCTCAATTTCACTTGCTGTTGTCCCAATTTTTCAAGGTCCTCCTTGTCGTCCGCGCAATACTTCTCTAATTCATCAACCCATTGAAGAGAATTTCTAATGCGAGCTTGGACATCAGAACTGTGACAAACTTTAAGCATCATTTCGACCAGAGCTTCCTCGACTTGATTCGCATTGGTGTACTTCGATTCAGATTTTTTTGATTCAAAATAATCTTGAACCGACTTCAACGACTTAGCTCCCTCTTTGTACTCGACGTCCAACTCATCTAGCATAGAATGAATCTTCTTCTTGCACTCAATGGCAATTTTTGCAATGTTTTCAATATCATGTTGTTCTGATATATGCTTGATTGTACATTGCACGCACAGAAACAGTTTACAGTTCCTGCAGTAGTTCGTGCAAATAATTTTGTGCACTCCACAAATTATTATCTCCTGGCCGTCGAATTGAGTGACGTCATGTTTTTTCCTCACGTGACTCAGAACGCAGAACTGACACAGAATGGCTACTGTGTTTTCATTTTGAGGAGATAAGCACGATTTGCACTTGAACAAATCGGTCTCGTCTGAGGAGCAAACTTCGCACTCAATGCACAACGGGTCCATGAATTATCCATGAATTAGGCCATGATACTTGAAAAAAAAAACAAGTTCGTAAGTTGCAAAAATATACGCTGCAATCAGATCATACTGGAAAATTAACTATACAAATACATTTCTATCAAGTGAAAGCATGTACTTCATTTATTGCTCCGACCAGTGAAAGCTAGGAACTTTATATTAGGTTGATTTTTTTTTCACGTAAAGTCAGGTACTAAAAATAAACGTCAGCTATGGTCAGGTCAAGTGATATATCATATATAAAACATTTTAGGCGCAATTCCATTGATATTTAAAAATTTCCTCGGTATCAAGAAAAACTGGTTCAAACAAATGGCTTTTTAGAACAACTTATAGCAAACAACGACAGTTAACGAGAAAATCGATTCACGCTATTAGACTAAAAACAGTTTTAATCCCTAATGAAGCTTCGAAAACTAACTTTTGAAGATTTAGTTAGCACCAATTATGCACTACAAAACATAGACGACAGACAGTTGAAAAAAAAATCAATTAACGCAAGGAAACAAAAGAGAAAAACTGACTTGCTTTTTTTTTTGAAAAAACTTCTACCTTACAATTTCAAATTAAAAATCCATGGCGTTACAGCTCTTTAATTTCAAGAACAAATAATAATTGACACAATTTTAAAAAAATTAACTCAATGGGAAAAAACTGGATATAAGTAAAGTTTTTACACAGAGGTGAAGCGGAGCTTCCCACCACTTGCGATACAACACAAACATAGAAGAAAAAAAAACATTTAATGTTGAAAAAAAACTAGGTGAACCAAAATTTTCGTATGTCTCGACAGAAAATAATTATGGGCCCAGCTAAAGTTGGAGATACATGCTTGATATTATATGAATTACTGATGCGGCACCAAAAATGTGATTTCAAAAGTGGGACTTTGACCAAAACCGTAGTGGTTTCTCTTCTAAAAATAAGTAAGAGCAAAAATTTTTGAGGTAAAAAATTTCCCTAGAAAATAACAATTCTCTTACAAAAAATTAAGGAGTGGCCGCTTCTGCAGGAACAATTATCGTAACCGGTTCTTTCAATTGAACTTTTCATCTCAGATTTGATTGTGAAAATTTTAGGAAGATTAAAAAAAATTCGAAAAAAAACTGTCAAAAGTTTCAAAAACGGTAAAAAGACTTTATAAAACTCAAAACTTTTTCTGCGGAAAGAAAGTTGTGGCCGCTTAAGCAGTGAAAATTGCATAATTCAACCTGAAAACTAGAACGGTAGTTTTCGCGTAAATCAAACAGTTTTCAAACAAATGTCCAATTTTGAAAACAATAACTTATTTAAAGGTCATAACTTTTGTCTCAAACAAACTGGGTATAGTCAATTATAAAAATAGGATTTAAACAAACTGTTGTTTAGATTTAACCTATAATATTGGATTTGGCAGGATAGTAGGCGAGAACAGTCCAAATAAGATCAACAAATCAAAAATTTGACGTTTCCGGGAATCATAGCTTTTTTTGCAAAAAAAGCTCACCGCTTATGCAGAAGGGATTCAAGCAACCTGTAATTTTGGCTGAACTTAAAATCTCAGACTTGGTAGCGTAGTTCTCGATAAAATTAAAAAACTTTAAGAAAAAAAAACGGTGAAAAAATCTAAACTTTGACTTGTCCGAGGGCCGTATCTTTTGGTAACAGAAACATTCGGGCGTATTTGCATTGGCAAATGATCGTCCCACAGCCCGTTCTTTGAATTGAACTCAAACTATCAGATATGACAGGGTAATTTTCGAGAATATTCAAGAAGTTTAAGAAACGGCCAATAAACTTTGTGAGTGGCCGCTAAAAAACAGGGAAGCTTTCCACTAAAAAGCTTCATTGTTCTCCATTGAACCCAGAGTGTTATCTCCATTAAACCCACAATATCCGATTTTTGAGGTTAGTTTCCGGGAAAAGTCCAAAAGATTCACAAAACGGTCAAAAATTAACAATTTGTTTATTCCAAGGGCCATGACTCTATGTCAGAAAAAGTTAGGCATAGCCACTTATGTAGGGAATTTTTCAAACCGTATACTTGAAACCAAAAACTCAGACTTGAGAGGGATAGGTTTCGAGAAATTGATTGACGAAGTCTGTATACAGAGTGATGAAAAGACACTTAAGGGGAGAAGGCGGCACAATAGGGAGTAAGCGGTCTTTCAATTGATAGCACTTTTTTAAAATCAAAAGTTTCTGAGAAAAACTTAAATTTTTCCAAAAAATTTGAAAGTAATTTTCCAAAAAAAAAATAAATTTCAAACCAATTGACCAACAAACAAACAACTTGAGCGTTAAAATTGGGTTTCCCTTGAAACGACTTAAAATTAGATCATTAAGTCGATAAAAATAAGGCCGAAAAAAATTTGGGCCGACGAACTTTTTAGCGGAACAAAAAAAATGTAGGATTAAGCCAAAAAAACAATTCCAATACGTGACAACTAAGCCAACAACAGATATACAGACAAAAAATCGGCCGAAAAAAATATAAAGTGAAGTATAGTGGAATTACAAATTGAAATAGTCGAAACAAATGAAAACCTAGAAAGCAACTGAATTGAAACTGCATTCAGGAAAAAAATCTAAGATAGGGGCAACTAAGCCGACAAAACATAAGCAGAAAAATAACAATCCGACAGTTTTTTTGAAACGGAATATTTCCCGTTTGAAAAAAAAAACCGGCCCTGCTCAGATTCAAATCCAGGACCTTTGCTGTCCCAGGCGTAAATGTTATCTCCAGACTAAGTGTACCGGAGACGCTAAGAAAATTGAACTCATAAAGAACCAAGGTACCAAATGACTCTGTTAAACAAACTGTTAACCCGAAAAAAGTCTATATTCCGGTTTGATAACGCTAGCTAATCGCAAGCGTAATTACGCTGGGAAATCTGAAAATTAAATACCTTTTTCTAAATTAGAAATCGATCACATTTTTCGTGACCTTTACACTTTCGTAATTGGAGAGTGCAACTGGAGAACGCCCTTTTGTAACTGGAGAGCGCGATTTGTGAACTCAAATACTGCAAATATATCTAGAGGCATTCATAACTGCTTTAATAAGTTTGAATGTAAATATGAGAGTATTTAAAGACTTTTCCTAAGAAAAACGAAACAAGAAAATCATTTAGAGCAATATAAGAATCCGAACTAGGTTCAGCGGCTCTTAAAATTTTCAGATCGACACAAAGGCGAAACAGCGTTTGGCATCATTCGCGATACAGCGCAAGGGCATTATTGCAATCTAGCGAATAGAAAGAGACAGAAATAACAAACTCGAACAAATTTGGAAAAAGGAGTATTTTGAGCAAAAACAGTAAAAAAAAAAGCTACCAGAATTAAACCAGCTTCGTACTTACCGAGCTACTACTCCGGCAACTATTGAGTCGAAAACCAAAAATGCCAGAAATTGTTTTCATCGAAAAATTTGAACAACAGAAACCACCTGAAGTTTTCAAAAAACATCAACCTTTTTTCATTTTTTACTTTTGAACCTACACTAATCAGATTGAAACTAAGCCAATAAAAATAAGCCGAAACCATTTAGGCCGAATAAAGCTTTACGCGAAAAGAAATATAGGAAAACCAAGGAAGATATACAACGAAGAGGTATCAATTTTACAAATTACAGGACCAAACCAAAATCACTAGCATGTAAGATGATAACTGCTGACACCACAAGAACGTAGCCGACTGACAGTTGGAAAAATTAATGAAGCCAAGGAAGTAAAAAAACTGACTAGTGTTTTGAGAAAACTTGAAACTTTCGAATTTAGAAGAAAAAATATGAGCCCTTAAAGCTCTTTACTTTTCAAAAAAAATTATGATGGGTGATGTTTTGATAAAAATTAATCCAATTTGATTATTGAACTATTGGGTCAATAGGTAAATTTCATTTCGCTGGGAAAACTATGAAATAAATTCCATTTTCGAAACTAGAAGTCTTTCATGTTTTTTAGCGCCAATTCCACGTTCGTATTTGGAGAGTGCTATTTACGTAAATTTCAGCAGATGATTTTCAATTGAACTCATAAAAGGCATACATACCTAAGTGCATTCCTAAATGCATTAATATGCTCGAATGCACATTCGTAATTATTAGAGCGTTTTAAGATTTTTTTCCTGAAAAAAAAATTAGAAAACAAACACCAAGACCTATATAAGTGTCTTCACTGTATTAGTCATCCCTGAAAAGTCCCCAATAAGACAATTAAGCCGACACAGCATTGGCAGACAAATGAAAGTCCGACAATTCAATTTTCAATTATACTGAAAAAAACAAGGTCCGACCAGGACTCGGACCCCAAACCTAAGGGTACAAAGGTTTCCACATTACTTCTAGGCCAGGTAGGAAAACTTCTCGAAGTTGCTAAGGTTCAATAATAAAGCAACTTCACATTTTCTTGCAGATGTGTAAGGAAAGTGTCTTACAAGAATGAAGTCTAATTCCACGGTTATGAACCACTTGTTCTCGCAAGTGTAAAAAGTAAAACCGGAAAAAAAATTTGTTTCATAAATCAACGTTATAACAACATTTAAACAACACACCTGATCACTATTGGGAAGAAACTTACTGACAAAACTTATCCGAATTACTGAGGCATACCTTTCGATGACGATAAAACACGATAATTCAACATTTAAATTGTTTTTCCGACCATTTCAAAAATGCGGAGAAACTTTGTATTCGGGTGTGATTTAGTTTTTTTTTCTTTTTTGTTTTCCTCGAAAAATCAGGTACCACAAACAATCATCGAATTATGCATCATATTAAAGCCCTTTCTCTCATAATTCGAAAGACAGTTTAGAATTTAAAAAAAAAATTTTGTCAAGGTCGAGAAAAACCGTTTTGAAATTTTGAATTTTCGGTCTAATTTCCGGCTAATAAGGTCAGCATGCATGCTAAAAAAATCGCCTTTTTAAGCCGCAAAAACTTAGTTTCACTCAAGCAAAGTTAGTTTTTAGGGTTTTTAGCGCCATTTTGGAACTCCAAATTTTCAAAG